ATGGTTGGGGAAACCTGCAGTCAGCTGAGACTGAGGAAGTCACCTGGATGAGTGACAAAACATTTCTCCCACTGAAAACGTCCAGATGAACAGAATCAACCTTTTGGGATTTCCTTACCTGGATGATTGAGCATGCATCAAGACACTGCACAGATTCATTTTCTAACATGCCTTTATTTGATTATTCATTCCCCAAATGCCATGTATTTACTCGAGGACTTAAACTGAGCAGCACCTGTCATTATAAACAGGTGAAGCTTGGCTGATGCCGTGATGTCAGTGGAGATGGGAAAATTCTCACAGTGATCATGGATTTGGATACCTCTGTGGTAACCAAGATGCTGTGATGGACCTGGATGAAACATTTGACACCCTGCAACAGAACTAGTCTGTGACAAACCTGCAACGTTCAGCTGCTCACACCGGAGCAGACACCTGTCCCACAGGCTAATGCGAGTTTGAACATTTGCCCAAAATGCACTTTGTAAAGTTTCCTTCAGCAAATGATCAGAAACAGATCAAACATCAGGTACCCGTCTCTGCTCCTCTGTCACTGAGATTCTATGCTAAGACACTTCAGGGTCGTGGAGGGGTGGAGCCTATTCCAGCTGTCATAGGCCTAAAGGTGGAGTACAACTGGACAGGTGGCCAATCTGACACAACGAGATAAACCAATATTCATGGCAATGGCAGGTTTATTATCACCAGTTAACCTGATGAGGAACCTGGAGAACCCTCAAAGAGACAGGAGAATACCCCTGTTTCAGCATCCCTGTGAGGATGAGGATGATGAAGGTTTCTGAATTTGGTGAGGTGAGGAGGTTCCAGCATGTTCAGCAAAAACACATCAGCTGATTCGTTAAAATGCTAGCATTAAACACACGCCGTGTGTGTGTGTGTGTGTGTGTGTGTGTGTGTCACCGTGGGAACACTTCTGCAGGAATTCAGAACATCAGTTACCATAGAAACTGTTTCCATAATAGCACCACTGTGCGTGTGTGTGTGTGCGCGCGCGCGCGAGCGCTGCAGTATTTTATTTTTATCTTCAGGTAATAAAAAAATAAAAAATGATGATAAAAATGAAGATGATGATGAGATGAAGAGTCTCTGACCTGCTTTCTCACAGTTACAAACATCCCATAATAATCGCTGGTCTGCGCTGAAATGTTTTTTTTAGCAGCAAAACTCTCCCTCGTGCGAACAGGAAGTGTACGGTTGCCATGGAAACGCCGTGGCCATCTAACAGGTGATTTCTATTAAAATGAAGCAGCGGAACTAAAAACAGAGCTTCAGTCTGATCAGGTTATTGATCAGGGAGAAATGTTTAAAATGTCCGGTTGTGCCGTTAACCATCGGTGGGGGTGGGGGGGTGAATCCGTAAGCCGCTGAGACTGAGGAGGAAGAGGAGGAGGAAGACGCGCAGGAGGAGGAGGAGCGCTCCGTCAGTCCGTCGGTAAACAGCAGCGGTCGGTGACGGACTCAGACGGTCGGTGAGTCGATAAAGAGGCTTCTTTATGCCGGGGTAAGAACACCAAACACACCTTCATCAGTTCCATCATTGCAGCTCTGCTCCATCTTCATCATCGTTATCGCCACCAGCATCGCCGCTCCCAGGACCGGTACCACGCGCGTGCATGTGTGGGTCCGTTTGATCGCTGTGATGCCTCGAGATGTTTGAGGATGATGATGATGAAGCTATAGAAACATCGTTTATCTTCATCTTGGTGCACGCGCGTTGCGATGGGACACGCGCGTGCATGTGTCTCATGCGTGTGTAAATATAGATCCGCGTGCGTCACAGCAGCGCAGTGACGTAGAAACCGAGAGATCCGCATTCCTCCACAGCTCACCTTCATCATCATCATCGTTGTCGTCATGAGTCGGAGGTTCCACCTGTGTGCCAGGTGACCGTGGGGACACGTGACGTAATCAGTAATCTATCAGTGATCAGGGATCGATCTCTAATAGTGTCCTGTAGTACTACATGGTATGCTGCAGTAGAAACACTACCTCACACACAGAGACACACACACACACATACTTGTTTTCATATGTTAGTGAGGACATAATTGACGTAATACTTTCCCTAGCTGCCTGTAACTCTGACACGAAAACCCCGTTTTGAACCTCAGAAATGTCTTCAAACTTTGTCTCCATAAGTGACTGATGGTCCCCACAAGTACAGTAGCATGCCAATTTTTGGTCCCCATAAGGATATGTAAACATTGTAAAAATGCACACACACAAATAACAGCCCGTTTTTGTGTTTTATTTCCTTCAGACTCAGCTTGTCATCTCAATATTTTTTGCCTTATTGCTTCATGAAACAGTTACATGTAACTGCTGCACACACGTTGGCAGTGTTGGGGAGTAACGGAATACATGTACCGCCGTTACGTATTTAAAATACAAAATATGAGTAACTGTATTCCGTTACAGTTACCGTTTAAAAAGGTGGTATTTCAGAATACAGTTACTTTGTTGAAATAAATGGATTACACTGCGGTACTTTCCTGTTTCATATTGTCGCGGGTCAGGACTGTTTGGGTTTGTTTGACAGCTACGTTCTGTTGTTCCAGGCGGCAGCGTTACGGTTGCCATGGTTACAGGGCGACGCTCTCTCTGCGACTGTGTGTTTCCTGGGTGAGAGAGGCCTTTTTGTTGTTGTTGTTGTTGTGCTAAGCTAATAGGCAGAATGCTACAGGTATAGCTCTAAAGAATGTAGCATCATGGGCAGTGTAGTCCGTGCTGCAGGGAGAATGGACTGCCATACACGTTATGTGTCTGTGAGCGCGAGGAGGGAGAAAAAGGAAAAGTACGAGTTGTCATCGAGGAAAAACGGGAGCTGGAAGCATGTAAATATAATAATAACCACTGCAGCCAAGAAGAGTGCCTGACGAGCCCAGTTGTAAGTAAGCTATTAAGACTCGACTGTACACCGTGTTCGTGTTTTCCTCCGAAACAATAAGTTCCGTTGGAGCAGCCTTTCAACGCCTCTCTCTGTCTCTCGCTAGCAAAGTTGACCCACACAACAAAGCAAAGCTATTTTTCGGCTACGAGCCCAACACGGAACCCACCGTAGTAGCCAGAGGTCCCTTTACTACGGTTCAGAGCCGCGGTGAGTAACAGTAATAAATCACAGCAATAGTACATTCACGTTGTTGTAAACAGCATATATTAAGTAATCCAAAGTATTCAGAATACGTTACTCTCATCGAGTAACGTAACGGAATAGTAGTAGTAGTAGTAGTAGTAGTAGTAGTATTTATTTATTGTCATTGTCAAGAACAATGAAATTGCGTTACAGAATACATTTTGGGGCATGTATTCTGTAATCTGTAATGGAATACATTTTAAAAGTAACCTTCCCAACACTGCACGTTGGTCTATCCGACCTTCATCAGGTCGCAGGCATATATGCAGTACACATACTGTCACTTGGTGTTCGTTCTCTCTGCAGTAGAGTATCACTTCCTGTTCCTGTTCCAACACAGTGGTGTTTTTCCGTAGTATCTGTGTAGCAATTTAATACAAAACTTATAGTAACTTCTTATTTCGTAGTGTAATCTTCATGTGCGTCCTCTGAAACACACTCTTGGTGTATTTACTCATTAATTTATATTCAGTGTTGGGAAGGTCACTTTTAAAATGTATTCCACTACAGAGTACAAAATGTATTTTGTAACTTATTCCGTTACGTTACTCAATGACAGTAATGTATTCTGAATACTTTGGATTACTTAATATATTATCATGCTTTTTACAACTACATGAATGTCCTATTGCTGTGTGATTTATTACTATTACTGAAGGTTACTCTCCACACCAACACCAACCAGATGTTTAAACCTTAATATAAATGAGTAACAGTAGGTGGACATTAGGTAAGGCTGCACTTTTTGCAGCGACCTCGTATAGAAACTATTCCGCACATATATAAAACAGGTCTGCGGCTCCGAACCGTAGTAAAGGGAGCTTTGGCTGATACGTCGGGTACATGTCGGGCTCGTAGCTGAAAACTAGCTTTACTTTTGTCTGGGTCAACTTTGCTAGCGAGATATACAGAGGATGCATAGCTGAACATATGAAACAGGAAAAGACCGCTGTGTAATCCCTTTATTTCAACAAAGTAACTGTATTCTGAATACCACCTTTTTAAACGGTAACTGTAATGGAATACAATTACTCATATTTGTATTTTAAATGCGTAACGGTGTTACATGTATTCCATTACTCCCCAACACTGTTTATATTCACTTACGGTTGCTTTAGGGTTTCACTAGCTTAGCTTAGCTCGTAGCCAACTCGTTAGCAGCATGGCCTCTTCACCTGTCCCTCCTGCACTTTCCTGCTCATTGTGTCAGATGTTTAGTTACTCCTTGGCCTCCTTTAGCAGTAATGATACTTGTAATAAATGTAGCCTATTTACAGCTCTGGAGGCCAGGATTACTGAAATGGAGACTCGGCTTAGAACCCTTGAAAAATCTGTAGCTAGCAAGGCCCCTGTAGCCGGTGCAGCCGAAGATAGCGTAGGCCCCACTAGCTGTCCCCTGGGAGACTGCCCCGGGCAGCCGGGGAAACAGGACGGCTGAGTGACGGTGAGGAGTAAGCATAGTCTTAAATAAATAAATAATTTTTTATTTATATAGCACCTTTCAAGACAGAATCACAAAGTGCTGCACATAAGATTACAAGTCATAAAAAGATTTAAAAAGAGAAAATAAAACAGGCAAAAAATTAACCAAAAGCAGTTTTAAAAAGGTGAGTTTTGAGTTGTTTTTTAAAAACAGCTGCTGAGTCCACAGTTCTTAATGTTGGGGGGGAGAGTCCACAGTCTCGGGGCTACAGCGGCAAAAGCTCTGTCACCCTTAGTCCTCCTCTTAGTATTTTTTATAGCAAGTAAGCCCTGATTAGATGACCTCTAAGACCTGCTAGGGACATAGGGCTGTAGCAGATCAAAGATGTAGGCAGGTGCCAGTCCGTGCACAGCTCTGTAGGCCAAGACCAGGATCTTAAAATTGACTCTAAATTTAACAGGAAGCCAGTGTAACTGAGATAATAACGGTGTCACATGTGAGTACTTGGAGGATTTTGTCAAAAGCCTAGCTGCAGCGTTTTGCACAACCTGCAGACGATCCAGAGAACCTTTGCTTAGACACATAAACAGCGAATTACAATAATCCAAGCGTGACGAAATAAATGCATGTATAGCAATCTCCAGTTCAGAGCGAGATAAAACCGGGCTTAGCTTAGCCACATTTCTTAAATGATAAAAACAAGACCGAACCAGAGATTTCACATGCCCATCCAATGTGAGACTCGAGTCAAATTCCTGATAGAGGATTTAACACAGAGTGAGAGAGGACCGAGGGCTTTCACTATCTGCGATAGAAACCTATCAGGGGCGCATACGAGGACTTCGGTTTTCCCTCGTTGAGTTGGAGGAAATTTGCAGCCATCCAACGTTTGATCAATCTAAGCAATCATTCAGACGCTGAAGCTTAGATAAATCCTCGGGCATAAAAGAAACGTACAACTGAATGTCATCAGCATAACAGTGATAAGAAATGTCCTCAAAAGAGCCCATTATATTCTGGAGGGGGAGAAGATGTATTAAAAACAATAAAGCCCCCAAAACTGACCCCGGAGGGACACCATAAGTAAGGGAGGTAGAGGATGACCTAAAATCGGAGACTGCCACAGAAAAGGATCGGTGATGGAGATAAGAGGACCACTCTAATGCAGTTCCAGATACACCAACCCAATTTTTCAGCCTTTCAATGAGGATGTGATGGTCAGCTGTGTCGGAAGCTGATGTGAGGTCCAACACGAGTAGAACAGAGCATTTTCCTGCATCATTATTCATCAAGATATCGCTTGAGACCCTAAGAAGGGCTGTCTCCGTGGAGTGAAATCGACGAAAACCGGGCTGAAACTTATCGTAAAGGCCATGTTTATCTAGAGCTGCCATAAGTTGCTTAGCCACAACCTTTTCTAGAAGCTTAGCGATTAACGGTAACTTAGAGATTGGTCTGTAGCTGCTCCAAAGAGAGGGGTCTAGCTGAGGTTTTTTTTTAAAAGTGGGAGAATAGCAGCGTTTTTTAAAATAAACCGGAACTATACCAGACGCCAGTGAAGAGTTGATTAAAGTGAGCACACATGGGCCAAAAGACTGGAAGACATTTTGAATAATGATGCAGGTACAATGTCAAGTGAACAGGAGGATGCTTTCACTGAATTCACTAATTTTACCAGCTCAGATAGTGAAACAGGAGAGAAAGTATCCAAGATAATGGGCCGAAATGGGGTAGAGATTGAGATAACAGGTGCTGAGCTCTTAAACAGAAGCCCCAGGTACACCACCAACCTGTTCATGTGTCTAACCGTTTTTCCCCACTCGGCGACACACCCGCCGGGGGTCAAACTCTGGTAATTGGTGATTCTGTTCTCAGACATGTGAAGCTAGAGACACCAGCAACCATAGTCAATTGTCTTCCAGGGGCCAGAGCAGGCGACATTGAA